TTTGATTCAGTGCTATATAATATTTCAATAGAATGAAGTCATATCTCGTACAGTGATCATTTAAACAACCAGGGGTCATTTCGTAGAAAAAGAGCTAGGGGAACTCATTAGCATAACTCATTAGCATATGCCACACCCCCTGACATCACCAGAAGTGTGTCATAAGGCCACACCTCCTGACATCACCGGAAGTGTGTCATAAGGCCACACACCCCGCCCCCAACGGTCCCGGCCGCCGCCGCCAGCCTTGCAGCTCCACTGCTGAGCCCCATGAGGGGCCCGGCGATGGACCTGCAAGGCCAGCAGGAGTGCAAGGAAGCCCCGCGAAGGCCCTCCCTGGCCCCAGGCAGGCAGGGGTGGGGAGAGGCAGGGAGGAAGCAACTTACCCTCCCTCTTCTCCTGCCTCCTCCTGGCTGAATGAGGGCCGGAAGCGGGGTGGCCGGAAGCAGGGGGCGGGGCTTCGTCATGTGCCACACACCCCGTACTTCACCTGGGGGAACTGCGATCCCCCGTGACCCCCCCCCCGAAATGACCTCTGTAAACAACCTTCCTGAGTTTGAAGCAGTTTGCTCCTCGAGTATGGGAAGTGGTGAGACCTTATCATAAGTGTTGCAGCTCCGTAATGAAAATGCGAATTTCTGACTCTGGAAGACCGGAAACGTGACCTTACTTAGGAGACACGTTAGTCTGCTGAAAAGATATGTGGTGCAACTGCCATCAAAATATTACTGACTGGCGTAGAGAAGTCACAAGCAGTGTTCCCTCTAAGCTGAGTTAGTGTGAGCTAGCTCACAGTTTTTTAGCCTCCGGCTCACACATTTTTGTCTTAGCACAGGAAGGAGGGCTCCAGAGCAAACTAATTTATGCAGTCGCCAAATCGCTCACTCACAGCTTCCATGCCAGTAGCTCACAAAGTAGAATTTTTGCTCACAGGACTCCACAGCTTAGAGGGAGCATTGGTCACAAGTCGTCTTGTTGCCATTTTTTTTCGTTATTGGAACAGCAGAGCAGTCTTGCAAACTGCCTATACTGATTGTGTCGAGCAACTCTGCATGTACGACTCGGACTTTGTTTACCATATTCATGTGTTTTGTTCTTTGACATGGTGTGTGTGTGTGTATATATATATATATATATATGCTGCCATCATTCACACATGGCTCTAATATAGCATGAGAGAACCCTCTAGGGTGTTTTTTGGGTCACGCGCGTCAAAGCTCTGAGCCTCTCTTCTTTCCAGCCTCTACCCTGCCATTTTGCTTCCCTTTCTTCCCCCAGCAAAGGGCAGCGGCCCAGTAGCCTGAATTCCGCCAACCACATCGCACCAACTCACCTGTGACATTCACACACACGTCCTGGTTCCCAACACACTTGACGCGAGTCCAGTTCCCTGAGGCACACTCGCCATGCCCCATATCGCAGCAGCTGGCGCATTCCAACCCGTTCTCACGTCTCCGCTTGACTCCTGGGGAGTGAGAAGCAGAGGATAAAATCCACGTCACCCACTGCACCAGTTTCTGAACCGTTCCGCACAAAGGGACACCCATCTACATAATGGCCTGTCTGCTGAGGAACTGTGGAGCATCACGAAGGATTATTTATTTATTTTTATTTATTTATCAGATTCGTATCCCGCCCTCCCAGCCGACACCGGCTCAGGGCAGCTTACATAAGAGGATAAAAACACACAAGTAAACAATTTAAATAATCCTAAAACCATAAAAAAAACATCCCAACATTAAAAGGTGCCAAACATTAAATAATACTGATAGATTAATATTATTAAATTATTAGATGATGGCGGCCAACCTTCAGAGATTTATCCTAGCGGTTGGCCCATGGATCTAGCTTTTGTGCAGCTAGCGCAGGCTGTTTCTGATGACTCCAGGGGACAGGGCTCTCTGCCAGTCCAGCTGTTGGGGGGGCGGCTCCTAATCGAAGGCCTGGTGGAAGAGCTCCATCTTGCAGGCCCTGCAGGAACTGCATATGGTCCCGAAGGGCCCTGATCTCTGCTGGGAGCTCGTTCCACCAGAGAGGAGCACAGGGGCACTGTTAAGTCGGCTACTTAACAAAGAGTCAGAGAGTGTTTTCAGCAAAAGATCAGCTTTATTCAGCAACTCGTAACTCAACTCCAAACAGATCAACATGAATCGCCAGAACAGCTTTTGCATTGAAGCTGTTCTGCTTTTAAACTCTCCCGGCTAATGTAGCCACGCCCTATTATACAATATCAACCTATGAGGTTGCAGGGATAAGGTCCAATCACAATAGTTCCCGCTCTTGGAACTGGCTGTTGGTGATTGGCCGGTTCTTCCCGGGCTACCAATTATAAGTGAGGGATTAGGATCCTAGCCCAGGATGAAAGCTTCACATGGTGTTTCAATGACAGAGTTCACATACATACATTGGTCAGATTGAATACACCACAGGCACAGGGCGTACATGCCACTCTCATGGGCTTCGCTGTCAGCCTGTATGAACCTGGCACAAACTCAGTGATCTCAGTGGGGACTGCTCGCCATTACCCATCTCCTCAGTGGAGGGACTCTGGAACGCTTTCTGGAAAACTGCAGAACTCAGCTGGGAATCCCTTGTCCTAAATGCCTACGGGACATCTGCAAAGGTGGGTGGGTATCAGAGGGTTTTAGGGCTGCCAAGTCCAGGCTGGGAGATTCCTGGAGAGTTGGGGGTGAAACCGGGGGAGATTTATGTATTTCTTTGTTTTTTAAAATTTATTTATAAATTCAATTTATAGCTCGCCCTCCCCGCAATGCGGGCTCTGGGCGGCTCACAGTCAGGCATAAACCAACACATAAAACACATTAAAACCATTTAAAATCATTATTACAGTATAACAACATTTTTATTAAGTGCTCTAGATGTTCCATATGATCTTCCATAAAGATGACATCTGAACACTGGTATACCCACTCCATGCCGTCAGTTCCGCGTGACGCTAGTGATGGTCAATGTTCCCTCTAAGCTGAGTGAGTGTGAGCTAGCTCACAGTTTTTTAGCCTCTGGCTCACACATTTTTGTCTTAGATCAGGAAGGAGGGCTCCAGAGCAAACTGATTTATGCAGTAGCCAAATCAGTCACTCATAACTTTAATGCCAGGAGCTCACAAAGTAGAATTTTTGCTCACAAGACTCCACAGTTTAGAGGGAACATTGGTGATGATACAGTAGTGGCGGCTCCTACTCAAACACCTGGCGGAAGAGCTCCGTCTTGCAGGCCCTGCGGGAACTGCATATGGTCCCGAAGGGCCCTGATCTCTGCTGGGAGCTCGTTCCACCAGAGAGGAGCACAGGGGCACTGTTAAGTCGGCTACTTAACAAAGAGTCAGAGAGTGTTTTCAGCAAAAGATCAGCTTTATTCAGCAACTCGTAACTCAACTCCAAACAGATCAACATGAATCGCCAGAACAGCTTTTGCATTGAAGCTGTTCTGCTTTTAAACTCTCCCATATAGGGCTTTAAAGGTAAGAACCAGCACTTTGAAGCGAATCCGGTATGCTATCAGAGATACCTCAGAGGGGTACAAAAGCCATAGAAGCTACTGTCTAAAGGAGCCATGTCCTCCGGGGGACTAATCTCTGTAGCCCAGAGATCAGATGTAATTCCAGGAGATCTACAGGCCCTACTCAGAGGTCGTAAAAACAACAGAGAGATCACAGGAAGGACGCAAACCATGAAGAAAACAGCAGTGATGTATAATGAAGATATATATTTAGACGGCTGTTTTGCAGTGAAACTCCCTGACGCTGAATCAGAACTTTAGTCCATCGAGATCTGTCTTGTCTACTGAGACGAGCCATGGCTCTCCAGGGTCTCTGGTAGAGGTCTTTCATATCACCTAACACCAGACCTTTCACCTGGAGGAGCCAGGAATCGAACCTAGAACCTTCTGCGTGCCAAGCAAAGGCTCTACCACTGAGCCATGGTTCTTGGGTGCCCCACAGCCCTCTGGGAGAAAACCATTGGCCTCAGGGCACCAACTAAAGCCGTGTGGCTGAGTGCAGATTGGAAGGCAGGTAGGGTTGCCAGCCTCCAGGTCGGGCCTGGAGATCTTCAGCTATGACAACTGATCTCCAGACAACAGAGATCAGTTCCCCTGGAGAAAATGGCTGCTTTGGAGGGTGGGCTCTGTGGCACTGTATAGTGCTGAGGTCCCTCCCCTCCCCAAACCCCGCCCTCCTCTGGCTTCTCCCCCCAAATCGCCTGGTATTTCCCAACCCAGAACTGGCAACCCTAAAGGCAGGTCTCCCCAGCCTTAGGCCAGCGTTCTAACTTCTACCCCAGACTCGTTATTCTACCCAGGGGTCATTTCCTGCTGGAGCGCACAGGAGCGGAGCCCCAGCAGTAAAGAGACCGGGGGGGGCACATGCAACAAGCCCCACCTCCTGCTCCCAGCAGCCCTCAGTCAGAGCAAGAAGCAGCCAAGTAAGCTGCAGAGCCCCCCCCCTCCCAGCCCCCTGGCCCAAAACAGTCCAGTGGCACCTTTAAGGCCAAGTTTTATTCAGGTACAAGCTCTCCCTCCTCTGTGAGGGCAGAGCTGCACCTTCCCCCCCCCCCCCCAATAGCTAGCAATCCAAAACAGTCCTGTGGAGCCTGAGCAGTGGGTGTTGCCTTCTGACACACTTCCGGTGATGTCAGGAGGCGTGACATATGCAAATAAGTTATGCTAATGAGTTATGCTAATGAGCCCCTCCACCTCTTTTTCTACGAAATGACCTCTCATTCTACCCCTCCTCCTTCCACCACATCTTTTCATCCTTGCCACATCCCATCTTTAAAACAGCAATTTCCTTACAGAGTGGCGCCCGCGTCCAGGGGATGAGGAATTACCTTGTTCCGAAAAGTGGCTGCAGATACCCTTGAGGCCGGGCCGGCCGTCGTTACACAAAGGGGTGGAGCAGCAGCTGATCTCCACCCTGCCGGAGAGCTCGGGGACCACGTATTGCCGGCGGCACAGCGTCTCCAGGGCACACGTTCGGTAGGTTATTTTCTGAGCGCCGTTGATCACTAGGGAGAGACACAGAATATATCAAAACGCGGATCTAGTAACCAGTAGTGGCTAAACTGGCCGATTTCTTCAAATTGTTGCCTAATATGATGATGATGATGATGATGATGATGATGATGATGATGATGATGATGATGATGATGATGATGATGATGATGATGATGATGATGATGATGATGATGATGATGATACCTTTCGATTTATTGATCGTTCAATCCGGCAGAGCTGCTGGCTCTGAGCGATTTACAGTTACACGATTTCACACAATGGACTAACAATTTCATAGGGGTAAGGGAGATAAATTAAAATAAATTAAATCGCACACATTTTGCAGCCTACGGGGATTTTTGTTCAGCTGTAGGCTTCAGACGTGTTCCGGAGGCATTCACTTTTCGGCTTGGCCTGATGACGTTGGTTCTTCCTGGGCTGCTTTGAATCGTAGCGCCGCACTGCCACCGCCTGGCCGGATTGGCCCATTACAGGCTTCTTAATGCCGAAGAGGTCTTTTTATCAGGCTTACGGGCTTACGAGCTGGACATTCCATTCGCCAGCTAACACCTCCCCTATCAACATTCATTCTCTCTGTAGCTCTCAGCCATGGGTACGTCTCTCCTTTTCACCCACAGTCTCTCCCATTTCTTTTCCCTCTCCTTCCCACCAAACTTTCCCCCCTTGTTCCTCTGGGCGACACCTTCTTACAACTCCCTGTTCTTAGCCAGCCTGATTCTTTCTTCATCCACTGCATCTCCTAGGCCTCTGCTCCTTCTGTCTTTCCTCCTCGCTCTATGATCAGAACAGGACCTGCACGTGTCTGTGACTTCGAGGCAGCTCAGCCAATGGCAGCCTGAGACCATTCTGCTAGAGCCAAATGCCTCTGTGACATCCCAGCAGCTCAGCCAATGGTAGCCAGAGACCTTCTGCTAGGTCCCCCATTGCCCCTGTGACATCCCAGCAGCTCAGCCAATGGCAGCCTGAGACCATTCTGCTAGACCCAGATGCCTCTGTGACATCATAGCAGCTCAGCCAACCCTTGCCAAAGGCTCCATCACCAGCACCTAATCCCAAATCAGCATACCTTTGAGCCTGTCACTCCCCCCTTGAAGAACCCTCCCCACCAAATAAATCTCCCCCCCCCGTTAGTATCCTTGAATGTACACAGCACATCTAGCCCCTTTATAGATGGATTTTAGAAGGCAGCTGTTTTGGTTTGTAGTAGAACAGCTGGATTTGGCTCAAGTAGCACCTGGGAGACCAACAAGATTTTCAGAGTATGAGTTTTCAAGACTCAAAAGTATCTGACAAAGGGAATTGAGGTCCATTCTGCATTTGGGATTCCACATTTTATCAGCACTCAACCTGGTTCCCTCTCGCTTCGGATTATCTGTTTTCATTGCATTGCCTCAGATCCTGGTTTCTGCTTTGTCTAGTGTCAGCTTGCCATCTATTTTGTTTCCAACGCTCGCTCCTGCTTTGCTATGCAGATTTTCCTGTGTCGGTACTTTCCTCAGCGGTCATTAGCTGCCTGAGCCATGTAATTCATGGCGAAGCGATAAATCCAGAGAGGGAAACAGGGGTGGGGGAACTGATGGAGATCAATGAAGTCATGTCAAGTTGTCTGCATATTGTTCCATTTGAATTGGAAGCAGAGGAAGGAAAAGGTGCCACTCAGAACCACATTCAGATACCCCGGGGCCACACCGTACTGACTACAAAGTCACCCTTGAGCAGCCATGAATCTATGCAGAAGGTACCATAAAGCCCAATGAACAAAGAACGTGAAAGCGGCATGCAGTGCAGAGGGAGATTAACCTCCCGACGTGGCTGTGGAACAACTGTGAGGAAACAGATGCATGCAGAATCGGCCTGAGACTCTCAAAAGCTCGTACTCTAAAAATCTTGTCTGTCTCCAAGGTGCTACCAGATTCAAATCTAGCTGCTCCTCCGAATATGTGGCCCATTCCTTTAGCCCGGTCAGAACCCGGGGAGACGTCCACCCCGTCATTACATGGCCATTCTCTAAATAGCACAGGGATCCCATCTGCCAACAGAGTGCTCTGGATTTCAGAGGCAGGGATGAGCAGCAGCATCCAAGCTCAAGTCGATCTCCGAAGAAAGGCCAATGCCAAAGCACCCTTGGGATTAACATGAGCAGGGCTATTTTTGGGCAGGAACGCACAGGAACGGAGTTCCGGCTGGCTCCCGAGTTGGCCACGCCCAGCAGGAACTCATTAGCATAATATGGCTACTCATTAGCATAATAGCAGAAACCCAACAGCAGAAACTCATTAGGATTGGCTACATTAGGGGTGTGTGGCCTAACATGCAAAGGAGTTCCTGCTACAAAAAAAGGCCCTGGGTTTTGACAACAAACAAGGTAAACAGAATAACAAGCAAAAGGTGGGTGTGGCTGGATGACCACACTTCTGGTAACATGGGGGTGTGGCCTAATATGCTAATGAGCTGCTGTCAGAGGTGTGGCCTAATATGCTAATGAGTTTCTGCTGGGGGTTTTCTACCAAAAAAAGCCCTGAACATGAGTTTCCCCCGTGCCCGTTCTCTCTGCCAGGCTTTCTCCCCATGCCGCTTCTTGGGTTGTTGCAGAGAGGCCCCAGTCCAATTTTACCTGAAAAATCCATGCATTGGTTCATGTCGCCCACGCAAGGGACCCGGGTGGCATTCTCCTGGGCACACTCCCCTGTGCCACGGTCATAGCAGCTGTAACACTCCATGCCGTTGGCCACCGGGGGACTGCCGACGGGTGCTGGGAAGACAGAGGAGGAGGGAGGCGTTTGAAGCCAGCAGGGACCATGAGGCTTTGGGCTTTGGTGAAGAAGCCACCCCACCTAACTGCAGGTCAACCCCTCATCCCACCCTCCTGCGGGAATGTTGCAGATGTTGCTGCCGTGAATGAGAAGAGCCCCCTGGGACCTTGCCTGTCGGCCTGGCTCTGCTGTATTTCAACACCCAACAAAATCCATCCCGTTTCCAAGGATCCAGCCCTCTGTCCCACTCAGCGCCAGTACAAATCAATACCCAGTGGGGCCCGGCACTTGGTGCCACGTGGTTAAGATCCAGGAGGTGACAGAACGTTTCTCCCCCGTGGGAACACTGCAGCCATAGCCGCTGAAAACTGGTCTATGTGCAGCAGATGCAAGGGATCCTACAGATTTGGTAGGGTGTGCATGCCACCGCTGCCTAAGACCCTAGAACAAAAGATCACCCCCCAGAGTGGAATCACAGGACCATCTGTCCACATGTCAGCCATCTACGCTTCGGGTCAAGTCCATTAGCCCTCGTGTGTTAGATTCTGGTATATTTACATGAGGTATGATTGGGCCCTTATACGTTTTTAAATTCTTCGTTAATAAATACATGTATCTTTTTATATACTATACATATTTATTGTTGGCCCCCTATTCCACTTGACTTACCCTTTTAGGTTCTAGATTCTAGCAACCTACACTTCACCATTTCTGGCTGAACTTTTTAGGTTCTGGATTCTAGCAACCAACGCTTCACCATTGCTGGCTGAACTTTTTAGGTTCCGTCATGCGGCACTTGGGTCTCGAACTGCGGAGCTACCGATCTTCCGGTCTGCAACTCAGCGCCTTAACCTCTGAGCCACCGTGGCCTCCTATACGACTGCAGTCTTCCAAATCAGAAGCTGTACTTTCCGGTCTAAGCCATAAAACAACACACATACACGCACATCTGACTCACCTACCCTTCACCATCGCTGGCTGAACTTTTCAGGTTCTAGATTCTAGCAACCTACGCTTCACCATTGCTGGCTGAACTTTTTAGGTTCTAGATTCTAGCAACCTACGCTTCACCATTGCTGGCTGAACTTTTTAGGTTCTGGATTCTAGCAACCTAAGCTTCACCATTGCTGGCTGAACTTTTTAGGTTCTGGATTCTAGCCACCTACGCTTCACCATTGCTGGCTGAACTTTTCAGGTTCTAGATTCTAGCAACCTACGCTTCCCCTTTGCTGGCTGAACTTTTTAGTTTCTCGATTCTAGCAACCTACCTTCACCATCGCTGGCTGAACTTTTCAGGTTCTAGATTCTAGCAACCTACGCTTCACCATTGCTGGCTGAACTTTTTAGGTTCTGGATTCTAGTCACCTACGCTTCACCATTGCTGGCTGAACTTTTTAGGTTCTGGATTCTAGCCACCTACGCTTCACCATTGCTGGCTGAACTGTAGTCTTTGGCCACATTGTACTTTGAGTATCCCCACAGTCCTGCCACTGCCTGGAAGTCTAGGGAAGCAGGGCTTGTGCTGGGAGTTGACTCCCTGGTTGTGCTGGCTTCTTGGCTCCCTGATCGGCCAGAACCTGCAAACGCCCCTGGATGCCATGCTCCTGTCATATTTTGCATAATTTATTCCAGATTGCTTTGCTACTTTGCATAATTTGTTTGGGTTTTGTCATCGCAGCAGGAGACGAGGACACTGACGCCTCACCCCCCCCACCCCCAAGCCTCAAAATCTCACCTCTCTGGCTTCTCAGGTTGCAGTAGGAGCTGCCCACACACTTCCAAACATATCATAGCAGCCATGAGGACTAGAAACTTGAAAGCCAAGATTCTCAGGGAGCTGGCTTCTCCATACTATATCCAGAACCTGACAAAGGTTAGTCAAATGCAAGAAAGGGGGCCAATATTAAAAACTTAATGAAGGAAATATGTAAAAAATACATGTATTTATTAATCACAAATTTTAAAATTATATAAGGGCCCAATCACACGTTTTGCATAAATAACTAACGATAAAACACAAGGGCTGATAAATCTGACCTGACGCGTTTCGGCCTACATAGGCCTTCCTCAGAGGTCAATAGTGAGGAACATATTGGCTATTATACAAATATAGTACAATCGTATAAATTCTGGTCAGGAATCGCCTTCCTATGGTTGTAGAGCCAAATTGTCCTCAAGCGTCAGGTCAGATTTATCTAGGGCTGCCAAGTCCCCCCGGGGGGTGGGGAAACCCCTGCCCGGGAGGCCCATTCCCCGCGCCGCCGGATCGGGCCCCGGGGGGAACTCCACTCCCAAAGCACATCACAGGGAGGTGACATAAGCACGTCGGGGACGTTGGGGGCGAGGCCACAATCATCCGAGAGAAAACTCTATGGTTTTCCCTCGGATGATGGTGGCCCCGCCCCCAACGTCCCCAATGTGCTTACGTCACTTCCCTGTGACGTGCCTGCGGCGTGCGTGCGCTTTGTGCGCATGCAAAGACTCCCAGAGCAAGCCTGGACTCCCCTGCTCCAGGACAGGTAAGGACTTGGCAACCCTAGATTTATCAGCTCTTCTTGTTTTATCCTTAGTTATTTATACATAATGTGTGATTGGGTCCTTATATAATTTTAAAATCTGTGATAAAAAATACGTGTATTTTTTATATATTTCCTCATTAAGTTTTTAATATTGGCCCCCTTTCTTGCATTTGACTAACCTTTGTCAGGTTCTGGATTCTAAGTTTTAGGTTCAGTTTTTTTCCCCTTTCCCCTTTTTTGTCCTTGTTCTCCATGCTATATGCCACATTCTGTGCATGGTTGCCAGGCCTTACCAGCCTTTCAGTTGGGGGGCTCCTGGGTTCGTGCCTGGATCTTCTGGCATGCACGTGAAGTGCTCGCACCACAACGATGTCGCCCGGAAGTGACATCATCACGCCAAGCATGTTGATGCTCTAGCACTTTGGCCAAAAACTCTATGGTTACCATAGAGATTTGGCCAAAATGCTAGAGTGTCGACATGCAACATGCCCGGCGCGATGACATCACTTCCGGATTATGTCATCACACTGACGTCAATGTGGGAGGGGGCTGTTTGGCAGTGGGGTTTCCCCCATTGGCCACCTGGCCGGTGGCAGGTTGGAGCTCCTGAAATCGGGGGAAACCCTGCCCCAACGGGGGTCTGGCAACCATAATTCTGTGCCTCCAGTCTTGTTGGCAGGCTCAGACCCCTGGAACCAAGCTCTTCATACTCCTGCCCCTCCCAAAACACTCCATCAGAAAGGAGATGCATCCTGAGCCGGCCGCCTTACTGTCTGTGAAGTGTGTGTTGCAAAGGTCCGAGTCACAGTAGTATGCCTTGTGTACCTCCCGTTCGTCTTCCGAGTACACGTTGGCCGTGTGGTTGGCCACGCCTTCCCCTGAACAGCCTTTCATCACATATTCTGCCAATTCCAGGTCTGGGGAGACCAAGACAGATGGGATTAGGAAAGCAAAGGGCCAGCTGTTTGCACAATAAAAGAGCCATTCCCCCCCCCATAAAGCCCCATATGCCAGCCACAAAGCGACGCATTCAGCCAGATTCCTTTGCCGTCCGAGGTTGTCCACTGGAAATTCTGCCCCTTGAAATGTCCAAGTTTGGGGGGTGGAGATTAAACATATAGGTATTGTTCCGTCTAATGCTGAGTCAGAAGTCAACAGCGCCTTCTGGACGTGATTCAACGCACGGCCAGAGTGAAAGTAGAATTAAATCATTTTTTATTATGCTGCACATGCAATCAGAAGATTTCCTTACAATCAATCAGGCTGAATAACTGGTGGAGTTCACGTCTTTTGTGATCTAATTCAGTTCACTGGCTCATGGTGAAAAGGATTGCGCGTTCCCACCTCCTTGCCATTTAAAGAGAACAAAGGCCATGGGAAGAGAGCTGTAAAACTCGAATCCTCGCTAGGATTGCCAAATCTTACCTGCCCCCTCGGCGGGGGACTCCCGGCAATCTCCTGGTGCGTGCGCGCGCCATAGCTACATCACCCGGATGTGACATCGCATGCTGGGGGCGGGGCCAAAGCCATTTGAGGGGAAAACATAGAGTTTTCCCCTCAAATGGCTGTGGCCCCACCCCCAGCATGCGTCGTCACATCCGGGTGATGTGCACGTGGGGGTGGGGTTTCCCCGGGCCCGATTTTGGCGCACCGAAAATCGGTCCGCCAAAGCGGGGGATTCCCTGCCCCCCCCCGGCCACATTTGGCAACCCTAATCCTTGCGCATCTGTGTGCCGGATGCTGTGGGATGTCTAACTAAAGACTTCAATTCCCAGGGACCACTGCTCTTAAAGATATATGGCAGTTCTACTTAACTACAGTTTAAAACGCTGGCTGGGGCAGCACAGGTATAGTAGTGTCAGGTCCAGTCCTTTGGAATGACGGGCTAGAATTGTATGATTTCAACTCCGTGCGTTTTGCATTTCAGTGCGCTTTTAAATCTGTAATCTGTGCGCTTTGAAAATCCTGTGTGCTTTAGGGTGGCCGGTCTCCAGGTGGGGTCTGGTCTTCAACTGATCTCCAGACTACACACAGAACTTCCCCTGCAGAAACCAACTGGCAGCTTTGGAGGGTGCAATCACATCCCCAGTGAGCTCTCCCCCCAAAAAAACCCCCTATGCTCCCCCAGGCTCCACCCCCAAATCTCCAGGAATTTCCCTACCCAGAGCTGGGAACCCTACAACCTGTGCATTTTTAAAAGAATCCTATTAAGTGTTATGTTTCTGTCCTTGCTGCAACCTGGTGTTGCAGTGACAGCTGCCCTGAATCTTGGGAGATAAAAGTTTAAAATACATAAATTTGCAGTTTCTTTTCTTCTCTCACTTTGACAGCCAGTTTGGTGTAGTGGTTAGGAGAGTGGACTCTAATCTGGGAGAATGGGGTTTGATTCTTCATTGCTCCACATGTAACTGTGGGTGTGACCTTGGGTCAGTCACGAGTTCTCTCAGAGCCGTTCTCTCAGAGCAATTCTCAAAGATCTCTCAGCCCCACCTACCTCACAGAGTGTCTGTTGTGGGGAGGGGAAGGGAAAGGAGACTGTAAGCCGCTCCGAGGCTCCTTCCAGTAATGATGGGAGAGGTATAAATCCAATCTCTTCTTCTTCATCATCATCAAATTGCCTTTTAAGCTTATTTATTTAACTCATTTATGTCCCACCTTCTTTCCCCAATGGAGTCCCAATGCTGCTTAGGCTGAGAAAGCGTGACTGGCCCAAGGTCACACAGCAAGTTTACATGGCACATGGGGAGATTTGAACCAGGGTCTTCCAGGTACTAGTCCGACACTCTTGTTCTGGTGGGGTTCCACAGCCACTGAGCACAGTTAACATCTCTCCTTATATATAAAAGCAATTTGGAGTGGCAACATTCTATGCGTGCCAAAATGAGTTGTCCACATGAACTGCTTCTCAGAAGGCGCTGCCTGGGATGGCTGCCTGCAAAACTCGCAGCCAGTGTCTCCGGGCTCACTCTGCAATGGAGCCGGGGGGAAGGGAAGGGTGGATTAGACACCCCCGCACACACTTTGTCATGGTAAGCACAGGGACAGGACTCCCTGGACAGGAAAAGGCCTCTGGAGGCCCCCTCACCACCTTTCCCCGCTCGCCTGCCGAGGCGGACAGGCAGGGAAACCCTTCCAGAGCCCCCCCCCTTCCCTG